TTCTCTTATTTCTTCATAATGAATGACAAAGTTCAGCAGAAATTCCAAGCAGAAGCAATAAGTTCCTGAATGACTCTACACATTTGCAATGTGTCTGCCACAAAGGAAAGAAAGAAAAAAGAAAAAAGAAAAAAAAAAAAAAAGCAGAGAGGGAAGGGAAGGGAAGGGAAGGGAAGGGAAGGGAAGGGAAGGGAAGGGAAGGGAAGGGAAGGGAAGGGAAGGGAAGGGAAGGGAAGGGAAGGGAAGGGAAGGGAAGGGAAGGGAAGGGAAGGGAAGGGAAGGGAAGGGAAGGGAAGGGAAGGGAAGGGAAGGGAAGGGAAGGGAAGGGAAGGGAAGGGAAGGGAAGGGAAGGGAAGGGAAGGGAAGGGAAGGGAAGGGAAGGGAAGGGAAGGGAAGTCTCAGTTCTGTTGCAGCAACTTTACTCTTCTGTTAATTCCTTCAGGGATCCTCCAGAAATATATAAACAAACAAATAAATAAGAGGTTAAAGAATATTTTGAATCTGTCCTGAAATAAATTCCTTTGTAGCACACTAAGGGGGAAATAGCACCTTAGTCATGTAGAGAGCAAGCTCAATAACCCACCAGCCTGGTGAGTTATTCTACAACAGCAGAAACAGTTGGTGGAAACATTGCTTTCAGGCAGTCTGTCCCCTTCTATCCCATTATATCCCATTTATAGAATTTATAGAATTTATAGAATTAAAATTTGTACAAATGTCAGGGTTTTTTTTTTCCTGCCCTCTAGTGGGAAGAGAGTAGGGATAAAAAACAGACAAAGAATGTTAACTGAAAACCAAAAGACACTGACCAGTGTAGTCTGGTTTTTCATTTCATATCATCTGATTTAAGCTGAAGCTAGAGGGAGCATCCATTTAAGCAGCGGTAATGAAAAGAGATTGATTGAAAAGTCATTTTTGCTCCATTTCTTATGGATAAGAGTCCCAGGTGCCTGTTTTCCTTACATTTTCTTTTTAATGGCTGCTCCCTGTTCAGCCCATAATCTTCAAGGTCAGCTTCAGGTCAAACTGCATTTAGTACAAGATGCTCTGCATCTGCAAGCCCGGCTATGGGATCCCTCTGCCATCTCTATAGCACTGGGTTTTGTTTTCCATTCTGGGCTCCCAGCTCAGCAAACTTTATTTAGAGTAAATGCTTATAGGACCATATTTTATTTCTACATTTAAGTGGCATTATGAACATCACACTGGCAAACGTATTACGAAGACAACAGATAGTTCCCATTCTAACAAGAGATGCTGAGCCTATGAGGACCAGTCCATGCCTAACTACATCTAGAGTTGCTAGAGCTGCAGGTGCTAGACTTGCAAAACCCAAGGCATACAGAACAAATTTCAACATGCTAGCCAACAAATCTCCTACAACACTCCACGTGCATTTGCGGCCTCCCACAAAGAAAATCTAGCAGGCAAAGGAAGGAAAATAAGACTAAGAACACTGGGAAAAAAAATACTCTTATTGCCAGATCTTAAATGAAATTAGCCTTTGGAAAGCTGTCTAAACATCAGCTATTATAGGGTAGGAACTCGTAGACAGATTTTGCACACACGTGCATATTACATGTGTATATAGACACTATTTGGTCGCATCTGTAAGATAGAAGTATCTATCTACTTACTTAAGATGCTTGTCCTAGAAATGCAACGTGAAAATAAGACAGTAAGTAGCATATATTTTTTACATAAAATATTTTCTGAAACAAAAATACTTTTTTTTTTTTCCTTTGGAGAAACAGAGGAGAACAGTTTTTTCACTTTTTAAGAGAGGTACAAAAAAAAAAAAAAAAAAAAAGATTCAAAATCATAATTGAAACCTCTCAGAAATCTGAACAGCCCACAAGAGATTAATTCAAGTCGTAAAATGAATTCACTTTTATTTTTTTAAATGATAAAAACTCTCCAGTAGCAGCAGCGACTCTAGTCTGTTAGGAAACGTTCATAAGAGTAAACTGAAAACAGAACCCTTTACATCCTAGACCCTATTCCTACTTTCTCATCCGCAAACATGACAAGCATCAATGCTCACGATGAGTGTCACAGCCTGAGGAGGAGAGCACTGCCCAACCTTTGGATGTAACGGGTACTCATGCGATGCATTCTCTGTTGACTAACTCTCCATCTCTGACCTCGAACTTCACAACAAGCAGTTAAGAACTATCAGAAAAATGTCCTAAAAAGGCTGACCTGAAGCATTGTAATAACTCTTAAAAGACCAAAACAGAAACAAAAGTTTGTAATCCATCTTTCTGTGAAGAGGCCCTTTGGGGTTTTGTCTGCCTTTTAATGAAGAGAGCTACAGCTCAGCAGCTGCACCATGTGTGAAATATTGTGGCACTTGTTTTTAACTGCTGGACGAGGTGTTTAATGATTCTAAGGAAGTCTGACTACTGCTGCTAGCATTCCACAGCAGAAAGGAGAATAGCGCTTGCATCTGAGTTTACAACGTTCTCACATGTACATGAATGAGGAGCATTTTCATCAAAATCCCAGTTTACGGTGGATTCCTCAGTATGGAGTATGAAGAGGGATGACTCAAACAATACAGCTCGGAATGGAAAGAGGTATTTATGGTGTTTTCCCATAGGTACACAAATATTCTTGTTTAGGTTTTCCACATGTGGATAAGGTAGAAGACAAAAGATCCACAGTCAGGACCAAGTACGTACTGATGCATCAAGGTTATTTAACTTTCTTCTCAGGGCATCTTGCCTAACCAGATAGTGGAAGCTGTAAGAGTATAGTGGTGTCAGGCCCTAGGAAATTGGTGCAGATGCTACATTAGAGAGCAGGAAGAGATGCAACTAGCCCAAAGACAGGTAAGGAGTTAGTTACGAGCTTAGTGCCTTAAAAAAGACAACAGACCCAGAACTGAATAAAATATTCAGAACAAAATAGAAGAATGAAAAATGAAAGCTTGTAACTTATCATTGATTCCTCTGTTGGCTGATTATCCAGGCCCAGGCAGTCAAAATACTGCTCTTCCGTATATAAGATGCTGCTTGCACCTGGGGAATCTTTGGGATTAGCTTCCATATCTTAATACTTCAGGTGGTGAGTATAATCAAGCATTCGAGAAGAAATCTCTCTACCGAGGAAAAAAATCCTGACATGTTCCATACGCACTGACTGGGCTTGCATTTGGATATTAAATCTGCAGTATCTAACTCTGCCAAAATTCCTCCCAGGACTCCAGAAATAAAATTCCTTATTATGCCTTCACTTGACTGCCCAAGGGATCCTTTTCATCCCTTCTTTTGACCCTACCACGCAAAAGTTTTCAAAGATGGAGCAAGCACCCAATTTCACATCTGGCAATGCTAGAAACTACGCAGCAACAGCCTTGAAATGTTTGCCATTTCTACTTGTCTTGACACTAATTATACACACAAGGCAGCTTCATCTGCACTGGGCAGAATGGCTCAATGCACAGTGGAGTTCAGTGCCTTCAGATCTGTGCATTTCCAAGTGAGTGAAGCGTGCATTATAACTGCAGTCGCAGCAAGTTTCTAATGTGCTCCTCCAAGACTGACCCCTCCTCTCTTCTTACATTCCCCCTCTCTTTTTGTTTTAATTTTCCTGTAAAATGCAAAGTTTTTCTCAGACAATCAGAGCATGACTTCCATCCAGTTGTTTCATCAGGCTAAATTTGCCACCCGCTTTTTCACATCCTTTTTTCCCCCCTCTTTTTGTATAAACTCTCCATTATCAAAATAATATCACTTACAAAACACCACCTCAGCAGCATGCCTCAGCCCTCATTTCACAGGGCTCTGCCAGCAGCCATGAACAGAATCAAAGCATCCAATTAAAAATCCATATTCATTAACAAAACACCATGTGTACTATAATGCTCTACATTGACTATGCTACCATAGGAGATGGAAAACTCTGAGTTCCCCTGCACTCGCTATGGAGGTCTGATCTCTAAAAGGAAGTGTTTTACCTTTTTCTGAGAAGAGGCTTGGTACTGCCTTAGCCCATTGGGCTAGGACAGTAGAAGTGACAGCTGTTGACCTTCTGCCTCAGAGAAATGCCAGATATGGGACTTGGCCAATATGAGAAACATACAGAGAAGACCATGAAGCCATGCCAGACCTTCCCTACTGAGGTCTTTAGGTACCAACAGGACCAGTTGCAAACCAATCTGCAGCATTACGAGCAGCCAACGTAATAAGCTCTGCGTAAGCTTGATTGATGCAACTCATTGGTTAGGCAGGGCCATATTCGAGCTGATGTAGTAAATTAACACATTCCCTTGGTTTCAGGGAAGTTGCATTGATTTATACCACCAACAATTTACCACCGTGAAAAGTCACATACCATAAGTACAATATTTCAGCCTATACAATGAAGCTATACGAACACATGCCAGGATTATTTATTTATTTGTACCCACAAGCCTGGGATTTACAGCTCTTTATAAATATGAGCTGGGTAATTTGCTTTCTATTTTTAGCAGGAATGCTTTGTGCAGGGAACAGCTGTCAGCCACTGGGAACTGTGCTTCTCAGAGCAGCAGCTTCAGACAAATAGAGGCCTCTTAGAATTACACTGGAGAACTGGAGCCACTGCTTCACAGCAGAAAAGATGCTGAAGATAGTAGACAGTGAGAAAAATGATCACTCAACTGAGAACCACTCCCGGAATTTTTCCATCATTTTTTCTCTACGGGAAGGAGCCTTATGCCATCATATTACATGTATGGATCTTGAACTGTCAAAAAATCCTGAATAATCTCAGAGCCTCCTGTTCAGTTTTGACCAAATTCAGCAAACATTCACAAATCTCAGGATTGATACATTCTCACTGATCCCTGGGTAGAGGTGACAGACTCCCTACTATCTCCATTATGGGAAAAAACATCACGTGAACTCAGCCTTCTATCAGACCAACAAAATTAGGCAAATCCAACAAGTGAATCTGTAGGAAACCCAATCTGGTATTCCCATTTCTTACAAAACCACGGTGTTGTAGGCACTCACCTTGGCACACGAAGGAAGAAGGCGTTTCCCCAGGATGGACTCGTGCAGTGATGAACACCACTTTCTGTTCAGCACCTGGGCGCAGGTTCGCTGCAGCAGAGTGGCAGAAGGAAAAAGAGAGACAAAAGATCCTTAAACTGGGTTCCATATGTAGGACACAAAGGAACATTAATATTAAAGCATATCCTTTTATTAAAATTGGTCATACATTATAAATAAGCACAATCTATAATTAAAGTAGGCAGCGTCACTGGGTCTCCGTACCAGGCCACAGCAGCAGACTGCACAAGGGCTGCAAATCTAATGACACACAAGCCAAACCTGCAACAACAAAGTTAGCTCTCCTTTTATAAAACAAGATTTACTACAGGGAGTTTAACTGCACTGTAATTGCTCTCTCACTTGTGATAAATACCCCCTGGGGCAACAAGAACAGTGGGGGTCCATTCACATCGTAAAGCCAATTGAACCCTGCCTAACGCTTGATGCAAGCCTTAGCAGCACCAAAGCATGGTGAAGTGCTAACCAATTACATTCATTACCACGGGCTTTGCTTTGAGGGATCTTTCCTCTTCTGTTTGGGTCCTCATCTGCTCTGATGAAAAGAGATACTAAGGAATATCGAAGTATGGAAGAGAGATCAGAAGTAAACTGGGGTGAGACAATAACTACATGAATTGCATTAAGGAAATGACTTGCCCTATTACATTAAATAGCAAGGACCTCTGAGGTGGACCATAAAAGGTGGCTAATTGAGCACTTAATTGCTACCATCTTTAAACCACACTGCTTTGGCCATTTGCTTAGTTGTAAACAGGTTGGGTCACACAGTGTGTTCCCTCTGTGCAGTGATAGCATTCAACAAACAGGAAATAAAAGTTATGCCTCTTCAAAGTGGTTTTGGGGATTTTAAGGACCATAAGAGGTCAGGACCTCAGTTAGTATCTTTCCTAGATCTGAACACACACAGCAGGGGAAGTACTGGACACAGCAGGATTCAATTTAAATCTCTGCTGTGAAATAGTTTTTACATTGAAAGGCAACTGAAAACTAAATCCAAGCTTTTAAAAAAAATAAAATAATTAAATCAGGTATATGCGTTACATGCATATCCAAACATAGAAAGATATTTGGGGACTGAGATCACCTCACGATTTTCTGGTTGGTTGTTTTTCTGTTTAAAAAAAAAAAAAAAAAAAAAAAAAAAGTCCTGGTTCTTATAAATGTTCAGTTCTCTCATCTCAGTTTTTACAGCTTTCATATCTAACAAAATCACAGAAATAATCAATACATTTCGGTTGGTTTTGATTGTTCTCTGGAGGCAATGGGACAACAGATCTCCGTGGGGCATTTATTTCCTCAGCCCTTCTAAATGTTCTACAGCAGCTTACCCCGCAACTTATCCAGTCATTCATTCTTTCAAACTCCAACTTCACCACTCTGGCATTTCAGAGCCCCAGAGGCAAAGAAATATAAGAAAGAAATGTCTCTGACAAACATAGCAGATGTGGGGTCAATTCTGTCTGCAGAAAAGAAGTGGGAGGCAGTAAAAAGGAATACAACACCATCAGCTAGAAGTTGATGACCACTCCGCATCATTTGCATTAACACTGAGTAGTGTGGGAGGAAGGAGATGCATCAGCAAACCAACTTTAACGAGCAGGAAAGGAAGCCTATGGTGACAAGTGGAGTTTTCCAGGGAAGATGAGGTGTTTTAATTTTAGTCTTGGTTTCTCACTACCTGAGATTATTTCAAATGGAAGTAAGTTAAACTAATTTCCTTCCCAGTCAAATTTATTTGCTTATGAGGGTAATAGGTAAGTGAGATCCCTATCTCTATCTCAACCCACAAACTTTTTCATCTCATTTTCTCCTGTCCCACTCAGCGCAGCTGGGTGGGAGTGTGGCAGCCAGCCAAGGCCAACCCAGTAAAACCAGCAATAGATACAGCTACAAATCACTATCTCACATTTTAACATTCAACTAAAAATCTTTTAGTTGAAGCATCTTTTCTACATCAGGATGGAAGAGACCAATGGAATTTATAATAAAAAAGGTCAGACGTGTACCTTTTCTCAGTAGATGCCAAAACCTAAACTACAGACCCACTTAGCCATGAATTATCCAACTTCACAAATGGAGAGAATGTATTTTGCTGTGGTACCTCATGCCCCAACAGCTACCATAGCAACAGATCTTTCAAAATACCAGATGTAAAAAATTTTCCAAGGAAAAAAAACTTATCAATTTCTGGAATTATTTTCTACTCTTACTTCTAGCTGGTATGTTGAAGACTGAGCTAAACATCTTCCTTCCCATCTGAAGTCTACCACTGCAGTCACCATTAACTGTATTTGCCTTGCCTGAAGAATTTGACTGAGACCTAAACAATTTGCCTCTTTATCTATTGGCAAAACAGATTCCACATTGCCTTCCTTTCTCAGGTGTTTTGAACTATGAGGTGGGCTGTTGCCAGCATTTTGTATTCAAAACCCCGTGAGCTGAAGACTCCACAGAGGAAATGAAAAGAACTCTATTGCATTACACTTCCCTGCGCTGTCTCGCCTTGTCTGTGTCCAACAGAGCTACAACATCTGCGTTAAAGCAAACACTGATGTCATTGCTGTCCTGGCTGTCTAGTCTCCGCCACGTTAAACTGCTTTAGCAAATCAAATCCAGGCAGCCTTTACTGTACTCTGGCTTTTCCCAAGGGAACAGATTAGCACCTAATGCCATTTGTTCTTGTTACTTCTGGTCACAGATGTCATTTCAAGTAGGAGCGCACATCTCAGCAACACATGTTGTAAAAGAATGTCATTTTAGGTCCCTACTAAATCTCACTGGACAAGGTGAAGTCAAATAAACACAAGCTCTTCTTGCCGGCTTATAGTTGGATTGCAGGCCACTTCCCAGCATCCTCTTTCTTAAGACTCACATAGGCTGTGCAAAGAAACTAAGCAGGTAAAACAGATGCCTTTCATACCACAGAAATAAGCAAAGACTACATTACAATTTCTGAAAGTCAGATGCCTATTCTGAGTCCCCTTGTCCTGGAAGGGGCATAGGCAGGATCTCACGTGCCTTGCAGAAGAACCCACAGGAGGTCAGCTGCGTGCCGGGGAAGCATGTCTTCAAGATGCCCTTACTGCCTCTCTTCACCTTCCACCATGTTTAAGTAGTCCCATGTAGAGCACAGAGGAGTTTTGTTCAAAGCCCCCCTTGTGCTTGGATTCTACCCAGCAATGGTCTTGCTTGGCATGCTCTAAACTGGATCCAATCCTCTCAAGTTCCAGATTTTCATTCAGGCTCTGGCCTTGACTCTGTCAGGTGCTTAAATACATGATTTAGTTTGACAGACTTCTATTGTGTTTAAAAATGGGCTTAAATGTAAGTGTTGGCAAAAGAGCTTTGCTGAACTGGGGCCTTTTAGCAGGAAGCCTGCTTCTGAGATCATTGTCACAATGTTTTAAAGTTGGAGATTGTGCAACTATTATCCTTTATTGCCCATTTTATACCAAAGTCTCTCTTCTTTCTCTTTTTACATCCCTCTTAAAAGCAAAGCTATTTTGGAGCATTTAATATTATTTAATCTCTCTACTCTGGCAGCATAGAAATTACAGGAACCATTACAATGGTCCTGTGTGCATGTATGCTTTATTGATGTATATGCTGACCTAATATCAAATTGATTTTGCTCAGCTTTTCTGCTGACCATAGAAAAATGCAAATTGGGTATTATATTTGCACACTAATTTTACTGGGCCCTTGTGTCTTCATAAAAAGATAAAGTTTGGGCTAATAAAAATAAAACATTTCTGGTGCTAATATGGGCAAATGTTTATGTAGGCAGGTAACAAATTGGTTTGTCATTTAGGGGAACATAAAGAGCACTAAAATCATCTTTAGGCAAAATAGATTGGGGGCTTTTGCTTAGCTTTTAGCTTTCATTTGCAAAATCAATTTAATGTAACACAGTGTCTCAAAGGCAGGGTGACACAGGATTAAGACATTCATTGTATTCCCCCTCCATAACTGCTCCTTATTCAGAGACCATGAGATTTAGGTTTGTTCCTGCTTAAAGCAAATTAAATATACTCCAACCAAAAGGGAGAAAGGAACATTTAGGGTTGTGCTATATGCGAGCATCCTACAGGGACAAACAAAAGGGTGGAGTAGGAATGAGAGGCTCAGAATGTTTGGAAGGTATTTGTTGAATGAGTTATCAACACATTTCAGTGCCACCCAGGAATCTGAAAGTGTAATACGTGAATGGTCTCCTTGCCTAGCTAGTTCTTTATTCCTCCTTCAAGTCCTTTGTAACAATGCCTTTCAGGCATCTTTAACGGCCAACAACTTCTGCTGAAATGCAGCTAAGTGAACATCAATGACAGTTTAACTAGACAGGCATATATCAACAGACTAACTTCTATACTGAAATGAGTTGACCTATTAAGTTCTTTACTTTGAGAGTAGTGAGGTGCTGGAACAGGCTGCCCAGAGAAGTTGTGGATGCCCTGTCCCTAGAGGTGTTCAAAGGCCAGGTTGGATGGGGCCCTGGGCATCCTGGTCTAGTGTTGAGTGTGGAGGTTGGTGGCCCTGCATGTGGCAGGGGGTTGGATATTCAAGATCCTTGAGGTCCCTTCCAACCCTGGCCATTCTGCGTGATTCTGTATTTAAATCCCAGAGCAGGTACTATTTCCATCCAGCTTTTGCTTTCCTGCCCCTTCCCTCCCTCAATTGCAAGGTATTTTGGAGGGGTTCCATGCAGCAGGAGGTTACATAAACAATTTTGATGTTAATACTTGACTGCATTTTCAACCTAATAGCCCAGGAAAGGGATCTGACTGTAAAGGAAAAGGCCAGAAGTGTCTCCTGGTAAAAATTGTGCTGAAACACAGATCAAATGACACTGCAAAGCTATTTGCAAATCAGAAATGGCAAATGATTGTGGGGCAAGATTCTCCTTACCTCACAGACCCTCTTGTTTGTTTTTAATCTCCATTAAGTTTTGGAAGCAATCATTTTTCTATTTGGTCTGATACTTCCAGCTTGCCACCCTTCTGAGGAAAGAAAATTAACCACATGCAAAA